TATTTATTTATTAGTTTTAAAATTAAATATCAATTTCAACATTAATATTATTTTTTTATGTATAAATTATTATATTTACAGATTCTAATCAAATGGATTTAGATATTTAGATTTATGAATAAATTTTATTCATCTGATTGCTGGAATTTTACATTAGGCTTTTTATTATTATAAGGAAGTGTACAAGCACCTCTTATTGTTATCATTTTTTTAAAAAATATTAGATATTTTATATTTTGTCTAAATCCTTCCTTGTAATTGAAGTGACCTATTACCATGCCTATTATTGTTGTAATTATTATGATTATTAGTATTTTATATTCAAGCATTTGTATATCATGCTGTCTTGACATGTAATTATAATAATATTAATATTGATTATAAAAAGCAAAATACCAATTATTCATTTACTATCGATGAGAATCTTATAATTACCCAACAAGATCTGCTCCGCATCTTGATTCCAATTAAAATATTTATATTTATAAACTAAAGGACACTACAGTATATCAATGCAAATTAAAAAAAAATACCTCTGGTTACTTATTAACACACCTTGTCTTCTCACGTTTTGTCACCTGTCAAAAATAAATTCATTGTACAACACCAAAGTGCCAATAATAATATTTGTTTTACGTGTTTTTTTCTTTTAAAAAAAGAAAAAGAAAAGAAGATGAACGGGAGGCAGTTTCTGGGTAGGTGTATATCATAAGAATGGTGGTGGTGGTTATCGCCACTTGTCGTCACTCTAGTTTCCTTAAAAAGAATGTTAGAAATTGTTTAAATATTTATAAACTTCATTTTCTTTTTTTTTATTAGAAACCAATGATGACCTATTAAAGAAGTTTGACTTATCATCATCTTCTGAAAAGGCGTCAATAATTATGGTGTCATTAAAGCGTTGTCCATCAGATGCGCTATATATGTTGCAGAAATTTTTAAATGAGGATAGAGAGGGTGATGAAGGTGATGAATTAGTTGGGGAGGAGATAACAGAAGATAGTGGAGAGGATGAAAATGGATCAGAGGATGGATGGAGATGGAGAGGATGAATTGATTGGGAGAGAAGGTAGAAGTGAGGGTGGTAGAAATGGAGGTGGTGGAGAGGAGGTGGTATAAGTGGAGGTGGTAGATGATAGTGAGGAGGATGAAGAGGATGAATTAGTTGAGGAGGAGGGGATGGTAGAAAATAATGAGGAGAATGATCAAGATGATGAAGAGTAATGATGGGATTGTTTATATTGGAGAGGTGTGGATAGGGTTCAGATCGCCCTGGGGCCTTGCAGAATAAGAAATTTTAATGAGCCATCTTATTATAAAGAGAATCAACTGTAGAAGATTGAGGGGGGAGGAGGGGCTGATGAGGACAGACCAAGAATTGAGATTGAAGGCAAAGGAGTTTTGAAAAAAGTTCTGAAGGGTTTTTTATGCCCTCAATTAATATGCTCTCCCAAATAATAACTGGTGACACTTGCAAATTTAACGCTTGTGCAATGTTTTATTTCAGAGGAAAATGATGAGAATGTTCTTCCATTTAGAGAGGAGATAAGAAACGAACTAAATGATGCAAAGAAAGAATATAGAAAGGTATTAAAGGAGATGGTAAAAGATGATGGGGATGATGATGAGGATGATGTTTCAGGTGATTGATTGCAGTAGAGACAATTAAGATTGGGTGGGAATTATTGTTAGAAAAAGGGGGGGGGGGGGTTTCTGGGACAGATTGCAAATTTGTGGATAGTAATTTTATATCTTCATATCAATTCGTTAACATTTGATATCTATATGAAATAGCACTAGTATAATATATGTTTTTACACCGCATTTGATACTATTTTTATATCATATATATCCACAAGGTCATTTAGGTGCCAGTTTCATATCAATTTCGATATCATTAGGCATACTTCATAGAAATGTGGTGTGATCCAAGTTCATGTATAATAATAAATTTATATTTAAAAAAAATTTTAATTTGAATATTTTTATTTTATTTTATTTTATTTTAATCTATTTTTTTTTCTATTATTATTATATATATATATATAAAACAAGTTAAACAAGTTATAATATATAATTTTTTCTAACGTAATCCATTCGCCAATCCATCCATTTTTTTGTTTTGATTTCTACAGCTTTTGTTTTTGATTTTTCTTTATTTTCATCCTCCTCCTCGTTACCATTTTTTATTACCTTTGAAAGTTTTTGTGTGCCTCCCCATGAAACATCTATTATTATTATAAATAAAATATAAATATTAAAATTTATTTCAAGAGATTTTAATATTTTAATATTTAGTGTTCTTACTTACCATCTAAATACCAAAACGAGTATAAAGGTAAGATTATATTCCAAAATGGTACTGAAACCAGATAAACGAAATACCATTTTATACTACTTAATCGAAATAAAGATACAGCCCCACTCATCATGTAGACAGTAATAGAAGTAATAATCGCTAATGGATTTGGATTAGCTGCCAAAAGGATTTGTAGAAAATACACAAAAAAGTAAATCAAAGAAAACGGTAACGTGGCGACTACAAATAGCTCCATTAACATCACGAATTGCACGGAGAAACAAAATCTGCCAGGTAAACCAGGCGAAGCCAATAATGTTAATTGATTATGAATTGTTCCATTAATCCATCTACGTCTTTGTGATAGTAATACTGAAAAAGTTTCGGGAACAATTGTTTGACAAGTTGCATCTGTGCAATAGACAATTCTACGTCTAGGAAATGAGCGCACAACCAATGTTGTAAGATACCTATCTTCACCTAATATCAGATTTTTTTGGTGCAGAGTGTCATTTTCATCACTGAAATAATTTGTAAATACGTAATCATCAATTATTATTGGAACACGAAGTTCACTGTTGTGTTTGTTTTTAGCATAGATTCTATACATTGCAAAACATCCTGGTAAACATAGTGAATTTAAAAATAAACATTCAAATGGTTTACCCATATTGTAACTCATGTAATATTCAAACACCTAATAATTAAAAAAATAAGTAAATAAATAATATTACGCATATATATATATATATAATAATAATAATAAAATTTACCTGTATCATTGTAACAAAACTAACGGTTTTATTAGCAATTTGTGCTTCACCACATATACCGATTACGTCATCATCATTATCGATGTAATTTTTTAGATATTTTAAACTATTTTCATCAACTACGGTGTCAGCATCGATCATCGTCATTAATTCATAATCGTCTACAGTTAAACCATTTGTTATGGAACGAATTTTTTCAAATAATTCAAAATCTAACTTTGTCATTGGTGAATTATTAAAGGCGACTCTCAACAAATTGAACAATATCAATTGCGAATCTCTTTTTCCTCTATTTCCAGATCTATCATTCTTTAAATTCTTGTTTGCCTCTCTTTCTTCAGGAGTACCACATTTTACCACCAATATTGCTGGAACCGATCTATCCTCGTATCTATAATATCCAGAATAAATTTGTGCCATGTTATGTGCAGTGACGTTGCCTTTTTCTTTGGCAATTGATGTGTAACTTAATGGCTGAGGTTCATTTTCTTCCATCTCCCCTTCTTCAGCTATTGTTGATTCTTTTTTGTTTTGGAATTTTTTGTCTTCTCTCAAATCTAATAAATCTTTTACTATTTGTGATGTCGGTTTATTATTTTGTTTACCAATAATGTTTTTACCATCGACGATTATAAACAATAATTTATTTTGATCGGGATAATCTGCCACAGCTAATGATCTCAAAGCACCTGATATTGCTTCTGAAGATTCTGAATAACAAGGTACCATTACAATTAAATTTTTGACGGGTTTGCTATCGTCTGTTTTTATCATTCTTTTTGTTATTATGAAATTGTAAATTACTGAAGATATTATTTTGATTGAGCCAAGTGACATGAAAAGCCCAACATAGAAGATTGTTGATAGCGAATACAACACACAGTTACTGCTAACGCCTTCTAATCTTCCAATATTAAAATGTTCTAAACAAGGCAGTATCTCGGTAAATTCTGTTTGTCGATTAATGGCTAATGTTGCATCTTTGTTTGCTATTGAGTTTAGTAACGATTTGTAACGTGTTTTTGAATTATCGTCTTTTCCCAACCATAAATTATTGTTATTGTCTGATAAATAATCAGTTAGGTTGTAAACAAGCGAATCGTATAGAATGTATTTGTTATTGGTTATGTTATTAGCAGCATTTTTGATTTCATCCCATGGAACAGAAACGTGGAGATTGGTGTATAAAGCTCTAAGAGAGTCAAGAGATTTTTTTGATGAATGGCAATGAAATTTGCCATCATTCAATTCACTGTCACTAAATCCACAAAGGTTGTTAATTACAGGTGAATAATTACAACCGATTGAAGCACCATCTAATGGAAAAAATTTAGTAGCATCTTGACCATAAAAACTTTGAATGAAAGGTGTTAAGGTTGCATTGGTTTGAGGAGGAGAAACAGGTTGATGCAGATCCATGTTGAAATAATCACCAACTCCATAAATTTTACCCCTGACGATCATTACTCTATGACTATCCGAACCGGTCGCTGACCAAGAATTTTGAATCATATCTTTTGGTATAGGTATAGGAGTATTACAAAACTCAAAACTCAAATTTATTGTTAAAAGAGCCGTCGCAACTACCGCCATGATGATTATAAGACACGTTGCTACTTTTTCTTTCCAAGCTTGGCGAGATGCTTCACTTGTTAATTTACCAAATCTGATTAACAAATAATCAGGTATGTAGAAGGTGAGGATGAGGGTGATGAAAGACCAAACAGTACCCTCTTTACGTGGTTTCATTTCGTCACGTAATCGTTCACCTGCGCTTATGGTTCTGCTGTTATGCTTCATAGATTCCGCTATTGATTTATAATCAAGAGAATCTCTATAATTATGATTTGATTGTAGTCTTGTCACGATCAAATCGTCCTGATCATTCTGACGATTTAAACTAGAGATGCTATGAATATTTTGACTGCTGTATCTTTTTGAGCGTCTATTCCCGTTAGCGAAAAAAGAAACTCTCCTTGAATCTTTGTCATAATGGAAATTTGATGATATATCATTCTCGTCAACGCCTCTTTCAACATTACCAAAATTGTTATTGCGCGAAACCAATATACTATTGATACTCGAAATGCTTGTAACGACATTTTGTGATTTATGAGATAGTTGATTGTTACTTATTAATGTATAATTATTTATCATACTTGCTAAATGAGGGAAGCCGCCGTCAATAGCAAGATCAGAAGCACTTTTATGATTTTTGGCTTCTCTTATTGTTTTATCGGCACCTGATTCGAGTAATCGATAGCATATGTTGGTTCTACCAAAAAATGCAGATGACATCAGCGCTGTCCAACCCGACTAAATTTTGGAAAAGAAAAAGAAAATTTTGTTGTTAAAAAAAAAAAAATTTTTTTGTATATAGGAATGTTGTTGTTGTCAAAAGTATTTATATTTACCTTGTCAACAATATTGACATTTGCGCCATGTTTTATAAGTAATTCAACAGTGCTTGTATGACCTTGATAACAAGCTAACGCCAATGCAGTTTTACCAGTTTCATCTTGATAATCAACATCAATTTGAAACCCTCCATCTAACAACATTCTAGATATTGAGGTGTGTCCATAAGTTGCCGCCACTAATAATGGAGACATCTCATGTTTATCGGTGATGTTAACGTTTACTTTATACTGTAATAGCAGTTTTACGATTTCTAAGTTTCCGTTATGAGTTGCATGAAATAATGCACTTTTTCCATTTTTATCTAGAATAACATATTCAAATTATATCATGTTAGTTAAAAAAAAATAAAAAATAAAAATAAACGCGTACGCTTAATTTATTTTTAAAATTTTTTTTTTTTACCTTGTAGATCAATCCCAATCTTTTCTTTCTTTAGTAAATATCTGGTAATATCGACATAATTCAAAGTGCAAGAAATCATCAAAGGAGTCAAATAAACATTTTTACCCTTGCGATTATTTCCATCGGCAGTGATTTCATTAGTAATCAATGTGTTAATGTCGTAGTCAGGATTTTCTCTTAGTATTCTACCCAATCCATAAATATCATTTGATATAATTGCATTATAAACTAAATTAGAAATCTCGGGTTGAGTCGAATGTTGAGCTATTAAAGTTATAGTGGAAGAGGAGGAGGAGGAGGCGGCGGTGATGGTTATGGGAAGTTCGTTGTTGTTATTGGGAGCGAATTCAACATTGGAGGTTGAAGTTGAAGTGGACGAATTATTTTGTAATTCGTTTTGTTGATCTTGTGTTGTCTGTGTCATTAAGAAAGAAAGTGTTAAAATAAGTGATAGTAATAATTTTTTGTATAAAATTGATAAATATTTTTAATTTTTAGTCAAAAGGAAATTTTGATTTTTTTTTTTTTTAAAAAAAATTTTAAAAAGAGAAGGAAGGTTTAATTAAAGAAATGTATATATATATAAATAAAACATTATCGAGTTGCGCCATTATAAGAAAAAAATGTATTAATAGAAACTAGATTGAAACTAGTCGATATAATAATAATTTTTTTTTAATTTTTGTATTAAAAAATTACGAGAACAAATAAAATTTATTTCTCCAGATTATTAAATTTAGTAATATTTTTTTAGTAAAAGTTAATTTAAATTAAAATGAAATCGATCGGTCCGACTGCATTCATTCATGCAAGTACTATTATGAAGAATGATCAACATCAGGTGAATAAAGGAGTTCATACAGGATATCATTATAACACGCATTTAACTATACCGCATATAAATTTCAATTATTTTAAAGAGAGAATCCATTATTTTTGTAGTTTTACCATAAAAAAGAAAAAAGCTACATACTTATTTATTGACTGGGAGGGTCAACTTATCGAGTTTGAATTAAAAAAACTTTTAAATCGATCTCTACATAAATCTAGAGATTAATATAATGAAAAAAACGAAGCGTGACAACCTTTTCAATAATTGGTCGTCCCAGTTTCAAAACAAGAAGTTACTATACGAACTATACAAACCTGATCTTGGGAAAAATAACTCTGATTAGTAATTGATCTACAAAGCTGTAACCTTATGTAGGGAATTTCTTTTAATCTTGATTTTTTTCCATATATGTCCAAAACACCCCTTGTGTACTCACCTCATTAGTGCGTTCCGTCAACCGAATATCATTTCTTAATTAGAATAAATCTGTAGATTCATCACCCAGATTAATTGTTCTGTTATACAATACTTAACCATTGATACAAATTTAAAAATTACTCCAACAAGAAACAGAAACGGGTTATGACAAATTTTTTAAAAAGGTAAGATCACGGAAATAATTTGACCGGTTGTCATGCATATAACTTCGAGTTTTGTTTTTTTTTATAATTGTACGAATCAATTTGATACAATTTATTAATGATAAAATCAATATGGCCAGTGGCATACAAAATTATATGTATTAATTGAAAGCAATTTCACCCCGGATTTATTTACCTGGAATATTTATTATTCAACCTTCTCATCGAATTTGATTCTGTCTTTGATTTTCAATCGTTTGCTGATAAGTCTATCAAAAAGTTTCCATTGATCCTGGTTATTGTATTATTTATTATTTACATTTATTATTTGTAAAAAGTTGTTAAAACGGTTGAAATGCAACGGGAACAGGTCGAGGCCTTGAATCCAGCTGATTGTAATTGAATTTCATAACACGCGAGTTATTTCCATTGCTGCTAAACCAGATTCATCGTCTAAGAATAAAAACCAATTTATTCACAGTATGATAAACTACCATTGAGAATTCACTGGTGCAATTTTGCCAAGAGGACCATAAAAATATAAAATACTAACCTTCAATGCTATAGCACGAACCTGTGTAGCAACTTTGGCCCACTATTCGAATATTCGAAACTTTGGTGAATTTTGTAAATATTTAACAAATTACATCATACCTACTAAATTGTATTTACTTTACTATAAAAGAAAATCCCCATATCCCATTCGGGTTTTGAGAAGATACCTTTACTTGAACTTGGCATGTTCTCACACTTTTAAATAAAGTCTTCATGTGACCTACTGTTTTTATCACGTTTTTTTTGGCTGGCGGCTGACAAATTATTTGGTAGTAATGGCAAAATAGATGGAAAGATATCATGCATACTTTTCATAAACACGAGTTGGCTCATCTTCTAATGTTAAATCGGTTAAACCACTCATAATTGAAAATTAAGTATTTATTAAGTACTTGTGGTTGTTGTAACCAATGTTTAAAATGATTATCAAATATTTGAAAATGATTATCAAATATTTGTAATTGTTACAAAAGTCTGAACTGTCGAATCAGGATTAATGATCATGATAAGGATCTATTCTACGCAAAACAATTTATCAATTAAATTGTAAACATTATTCAATTTAAAAATTAAAAATAATTCGTAATCAAATCACAGAGTCCGTTGGATAAAAGTACTTTTTTAAATTTCCATATTCTCTGAAACTTTCTGATAACAAGCCGAAAAAATGAATCAAATGTTGAGAGTATCGCAGACCATTCAAGTTTTTATTTTTTCATTGATTTAATTTACAAGTTAGTTTCTTTACCAAATATGCTTAATGCAAGTCTTTAAAAGTTTGCAACTTGATAATTGCTCCCATGTGAAATAGTTTTACCATGTTTGCAAATAACTTGTTTACCACCAATAAATTCATGAAAACAATGTAAATAATGTTTGACGAGGATTGTGGAAAAAAACTTTATTTTATTTTTATTTTTCATTTTTCAATTAAACCACCCTCGGAAACTTAAGAGAGTTTCTGATCGTCAGACGAAATTTATAAATTATTAATAAGCAAGTTTAATCTCAAAAATCCCAAAACATAAGGAAATTGATTCGTTGCATAATTTTTGGTGTGTTACGCACATATAAATAGGACCCCTGAGTATATTAATTAGAATCTTTTGTTCAGATTGAAAATTTTCTTCAAAATAAACATAATTAATTTCTATTGTAATGTGACCGCCAAATCTCGAAAGTTGATTGGTGGATCTTTCTGCTTAGGTGATGATTTACGAAAAATGGATTAGTATTAGTATTAGCGAGTAGTCCCTATGACGACATTTTTTTCTCGGTTTGAGATTCTTTTTTTGGACACATTCAATAGAGTATACATTCATGAACACAAAAGTTTGAACCAATGTTCGAAATTCAATCGGCGGAAATAGGCTTGCGCTAACCGAATCTAGAAATTAACTGCAGGTAATTTCTAAATTTAGACTAGTTTTGTGTTAAGGTGCACTCGAATATGTCAAATTTTGGGGCGCACAACCCTTGTAAAACCCCTCATTCATGTCGTTATATGATTATTTATAAAAAAAAGTTTTAAACTTTATATAACCCCAACTGTATCAGATGTATTAGAAGATATTATTAAAAAAAATTTTTTTTAGTGTAACTTATCGCATGATTTAATTGATTTAATTATTCAAAAGTTTTTAGGATAAATTTGAACAATCATTGTAACGTTATTATTATTTATTATTATGGTATTTTGGTATAACGGATTTTAGATGATTGAGACAAGGCTTGACTATAATTGATGTAAATAAGAAGATATAATAAAAATACAAATAATTCTTTGGTGGTATTATTATTATTTATCGATTTCATCAATTATTTTATTGTTTTTTTATTATCAATATATATATGTAGAGCAAATTCAACGGCAAAATTATATTCTTTTAACACTAATATAGACATCTAGATCATAAAATATTTTGCCAATCAAGGATAAGGTTATTATGTACCTTATTGATGTTGAACCATATGAATACTAATTGGTCTTAGATCAGCAATTTTTGGAATTAGTCTGTCATAATGCTAATACTAATGTCGACTCATCTTGACAAAAAAAAAAAAATACTAATATGATACGCGCCTGTAAATAACGCACGGATGCACCAATTATAGATATTATATGAGGCATGGAAAATTCAATTTAATATCTGATCTATTTAATCTGTTCAATCTATTATCAAAATTAATTGCCTAATTGAGACATAACTGTAATTAATAAACAAAAAAATTATCAATTGCAGTCAATGAACCCATTGGTCTCCAAACTTACGTTGTAATGATTATAAACAATATTTTTATAAATAAAATGATTTTCAAGGAGCATTGTTACGGCCTCAGGAAATTTTCCTCCTTTTCTCGTTTTGATTTTGAAACTTCGGATTTTTTTGGCAATATTTTCTATGGATAATTATTCACCCATCTGCCAGATTTTTTTTTTTATTTAAAGAAAATTACAATCGAAGCTTTCTGTGATTATTAATAAAGTAAAACCATCATCTATTTATAATGTAAAGGTGATTTGTTTCTGTTTCAACCGAAACATGTCTCAAGTTAATTTAATGATTAATCATCACCAATAAAAGAAATATGTCAATATTTAAATTACTACATCTAGTAAGATTTACATAATTGAGGTTTTATTAAGAAACTGTGGATGGTTCAACAACAACAATAAAACAAAACCTGATTAGGAGTTTCTCTTTTAAAAATTATCAATTTAGTCTTAAGGATGTTACACGATTAATATTAAGAGATTTACGGCATACTAATACATAATTCATTTACGGCTTATTATTATATAGTAGCACTGCGCAAAAATTCTTTAACCAATTATTCAACCGTGAAAATTAATATTAGAACTAACCGGTCAAAAAAATATATTTTGACCGGTTAACCGAGGTTAACGGTTAACGATGCCAACCCCTAATTCACATCATCTCGTTTTTTTTAATTATTCAAAATAATTGGAATAATCAACCCAAAGGTGTAAATTCATTCTAAGCCTATTCTTTTTGTTTTAACCTTCACTTAGTTGTTTGGAATAATTCGCTTTGGTTTATTTGAGCGACCATTTCTTGCTTCTTTTCCTTTTGCTTTTGGTTCATTTTCCATAACCACGCACTCTAAACCATATCTCCTCTTTTGTTTATGATTTATATTCAGTTGTAAATTTTTATGATATTTGAATTTAATTCTGGCCTTTTAACTTATTCAATAATTGATCATTGGTTTTTTTGCAATTCATCAGTTAATTTTTTTTTCTTTAAGATAATTATTTCTTGGCTTTTTATTTAACCTTTCTTTATTCTAAAATTTAATTCTTGAACTTTGTTTTTTTTTATATTGGCCATGGTTCTTGGAACTTCTATATCCTCTTCTCAATAAGAGACTTCTAATGTTATTATCTGCTAATTCAAACTTTCATCCATCTACTTATTTCTTTTTTCTTTTTTTGTTTTTGTTAATAAAGTTTATCTTCTCTCAATCATATCTATTTCTATAAAAAAAAATAGACATTATCATTTTTTGTAGTTAACATAATTTATAATTTTAGATATGGAATAATTACTCGGCTACTTCTCTTTTACTTTTCTCATGGCCACTAGTCTACTGTATATAGTAATAGGGTTATTTATCTACTACCATCACAGTAATATTTCAGTGTATATGAGGGATTTTTCAATAGAAAAGGACCATGATGTGAAAAAGCAATTTTGGGTTGATGTCACCATTATATACAACTTTTCACTTAGAATTAGAAATCATGCTCACTTTTAGTAAATTTTGGAGATATTTTTCTCTAAAATTCAAAATTGAAATCAATTTTTAAATCATGGTCCTTTTTCTATTAAAAAGCTCCCACATGTTGAAAAAGAAACAGGCTGAAAAATTTGTTCTTTATAAATAGTGCCAAAATACTAAAGAATCACCAAGAAAAATTATAACTAACTAAAGTGCATTATGAAACCATATAAAGAAATTGAACAAGTGATATCTTTAAATACATCTCTTACAAATGGACAAATATTATTGTAAAGATGTTTTTGATACTAAGAGTAGGTATCATATAGAAATGTTATTTTTTATTTGAAAACCAGAAAACATAACCTTCCAAAACGATAAAGTAAATTCATGAAAAGGAACCATTAGCAATCTCTCAAGTTTTCACAATACCAGGGTCGGGAGCTTCAAAAAAAATGTTGAAATTCATAATACCATCCAACTTCTTATAATGACCCTTTAAACTAGAGTTTTATTCAATCCAGCACTACTAACATCAGGAAATTTTTATGATATCCACACAATCTACACTTACCTTTCAATGGAGTTTTTGATTAATCCAAAACTGCCATCACATTGGAATTTGGTATGCCCTGAAATCATGAAATTAAATTCAATATCTCATAATAACCATTACTAGGTATAATGAAACAAAAATGGTTACATTCTTTTATTTTGTCCACCAGTATTATTACAGGGAATCTTCAGATGCCTCTCGCCTTATTCAGTTTCTTAATTCCATCAAAGACCATACCAAGTGTCCTTTTTCTACAAGATCATCAAGATCACTATCAATTTATTCTTGTGCTACTTTGTCTTGAATACCAAATAGATAATAGATTTTACCTGCACATTAATCAGAATATGGTAAATGGACATTTTTAGGCTCAATTATAACTATAATGAATTCTAACATCAATATTACAATGCTTCCCTATAAAAAATTTGGCACGAAAAATGTACGGAAAACTGTATGGAATTTTACCTGAAATTCGCATTTTTCCATACCAAATTTTTTATAGGGCTTGAATAATTTTGTTCAAAGACTTTCATTGTTCTTCAACCAATTTGGTATTTTTGTTATAATAATCTCTTTCTAACTTTCTTTTGATAGATGTTATTTGTATTTCTTTAAGACTTTGACCTCTTCTTTACAAGCAGATTATTTTTGAAATGTTGGCAGAGTATCACACAAACATGTTCTTCTGAAATCTGAGGAGTCAATTGATATCATAATTTGTAAATTGCATCATATTTCAAGGATTTCAAATTGCCACCTTCTTCAAAATGTCCCTACAAACTGATTTATAGTTCACTTCTGCTGATAATAATATTGGTTTACATTTCTTTCTTGTAGCTTCCAAGAAAAATTTTCACAACTATAGCAACATCTTTACCAATTACCATCTTTGGTTTTCACTCAAGCATTCTTTTAGTATCGCCATGTACTCTTGATATAAGACCAATTTAGTTTGGTGGTCAGTGTTTGATAAAAATCAAGAATAATAAACTCACAAATGGGAAAGAAGGCAAAGGAAAAGTTGTATCCTTGTTGCACACTACATATGTAAACTTTGATAAGTCAGTTTTGGCCTATCTCAACCAAAGAGTTTCAGCCCTTTTTTTTACTATTTAAAAAAATTCAATAAGTCAGTCGATCTATATATAAAGTCGCGATAAGCACTAAATCAGTCTCACGTGATATTTCATTATGTGAAGGGTCATCATTACTATTTTAATAATGTGTGATTTATATCTGATGTAAAAAAAACTATCTTTATTGTTTAGAAGGAAGAGAGCATTCTCACTTGTGTACTACACTCATATTTTATTATCTCCATCAGTTATAATGCATAATCACACATCCATTTTTTCTTGTCAAGTAATTTTAAAAAGAGAACTTTTTTCGCTTTAATCATTTGATGATTTATCATGAATAATGCATTAATATTTTATTATCTCAGCAGTTGTATCATCAATTGTATCATTCATTTATCATACATGAATAATGCATTAATATATTATTATCTCATCAGTTATATCATCAAGAATTTAAAGAACATTCTTGTCTAATCACAAACAATACATCTGCATTTATTTATCTCATTTTTATATCACTTATATAATTGATTATCTAGTGTGAAGAAATACATTTGTATTCCTATTAAATTTTATTATGTTCAGAAAAAGATTGATTTCGCAACCTTCTAATGTTTGAGATTCAAATTTTAAAATTTATAAAATCACGTGAAATTCGACAACTCGGTTCTCTCGATAATTCGGTCACAGGGATCCGCCCGACATGACCGACTTATCGAGATTACATATATTTATTTTAAAATTTTTGGACATATATGAAGCTTGAAAATACAAGCGATGAATGAGTCTGTCTTATTTATCAATTGTTAAGGTTAAACGATGCGTTGGATTTTTAATTTATTGTCAATAATATTAAAAAAAAAATTTAAAATGATAATTTTTTCAATAAATTCATTCAGTCAAAACAAAACGATCGTGTTACACTGGCTGCATTTGAAATCTTTGCTTTTGAGTTATTAATATATTATGGAAAGATGATAAAACCTTTGGAATATCAAGTAAATCAATCGAAACAAAATAAATTCTGTTTACAAATATATAACAATAAATAAAAATTATTTAAAAAATTTTATTATATATTATAATGGACACACCACCAGATTTGTCAAGTCCTACAAAAAATTCTCAACCTCAAGAACTAAAACAACCACAAAAAAAAAATTTATCAAATTCCCATCACTCACAACAAAAAGCCTCAAAAATTTCTACCTCTGAACATGTGGACAGAAAATATACTCCCAAACTAAAGTTCACTAATTTTTCTGCTCAACCGTCAATTGTAACTAAATATGTAACCTCAAAGTACATGAGACATGATGTTTCATATTTTCCTAGAGAAGAAAATAAAAAAAAGACTCAAAAAAAATTAGCAAGTAAAATTGAAGATATTGGCGAAAAAGAAGAAGAGGAGGAAGAAGAGGAGGAGGAGGAGGAGGAACTTTCAAGTGGTGAAGAAGAAGTGGGCGAAGAACAGTTGGAGGAAGTGGAGGAAGTGGAAGAAATGGTACAAAAAAAATTTTCATTTATGTTTATTTTATATGTATATATACATATATATAAATAATAGATATACTATAATCTAATTCATTTTTTAACTAATTTTTTTACAATCTCACAGCAAGAACCAGAAGGATATAGAACTTTGGTAATACACCCTGGCTCAAGAAATTTGAGAATTGGTCGTGCCTCTAATGCTTTCCCACAAGTTATACCACACGTTATTGCCAGAAGATTTTGGAATGTTTCGTCAAAACCAAAAAATGAAGATGGTGTCGATCATAATGAATCAATTAAACAAGAGGAAACGATTAACGTATATTTAGGTAAAAAAGATTCAGAAGATAAGAATAATCACCATAATGAAACCAATATGGATATGGATGATGATAGATCCGAATCTCATGAATCAGGGTCGGGAGATTCTACAGCTGCAGTAGAAGATGAAGGAGAAGAAGAGGTAAATAAATGGGTTTTGAAGGAGAAGAAGGGAACAATCACATTTGTATTATTTATTATATATCTATGTTTCATAATTCTAAATTATATATATATTATATTATATTACAATAATAAAAAGGTACAATTTAAACAAGTTGTCAATGACATCAAGAAAGAATTGAAGGATAGAATGAAAGCGGCAAAAAGACGTCCTGTTGCTAATGCACAATCACAAGTTCATTCATTTAATAAATCAGCACATTCTGAAATTATAGCAGACCATAATGATCCTTACAGGGTAGAGTGGACAGATGTAGATGATGGTTCAACATATTATATTGGAGAAAAGGTAGGTTATGAGTGTATATATATGTTTCAATAGATCACTTGAAGTTTTTTTTTCTTCTATTATTAACTTTGATCATTTGTCATATATAAAAAATTGAAAATTGAAAAAGGCTCTTCGTATACCTGATACTGAAACTGATATTAAATTATTTTATCCAATACAAAATGGAGAACTTAATACAAAAGATTATGATTCAGTGAAAGCAGTTGTTGGTGACTTGGAAAAAATATGGACAAGTGTTCTTAAAGATAAATTTGATATCCTCCCAAAGGAATTTCATGTAACATGCTCATAACAATATTTTTTTTGATGATTTTTCGAATAAATGATACTTTTCTAAATATATATATATATGTATATGTTTTTTTAGACATATTCAGTAATACTTGTTATTCCTGATTTGTGTAATCGAACTTATATGTTGGAATTGGTAACAATGTTACTTCTATATATGAATTTTAGACGTATTTTTGTTGCACAGGAAGCTGTTTGTGTGAGTTTTGGAGCTGGAATTTCTTGTTCATGTGTGGTTGATATAGGTTCTCAAACAACTACAGTTTCATGTGTAGAAGATGGAATGTGTATTAATGACTCAAGGTAATATCAAAGTATTTTATTTTATTTTATTATTATTATTCAATTTAATCATTTAATTAAAAACTCTTGTTTTTGTTTTCAGATTAAGTTTACATTACGGTGGCGATGACATTACAACATTTTTCATTAAACTTTTAAAAAAAAATAAATTCCCTTATCAAGAGATGAATTTAAACTGTGTGTATGATTGGCTATTGGCAGAAGAAATTAAGGAAAAATTTTGTACACTTGATGAGGTAAAGATTTAATTAATTAATTGTTTAATAAATATATTTTTAATATAATAATCTTATTTTAAATGTATTCCTTTACATAGGCAAATTTGGGTATTCAATTAAACGAATTCTTTGTTAGAGCATCCAATAAACACACACTCTTGTATAAATCAAAGATTTATGACGATGCTATCATTGCACCAATGGTACATTTTCTTTTTGAATTATTATCATTACACAGTCACTCTTTTGATACAAGAAAATCACTTTTTTATTCTCCTTTTATCTTATAACGCGAGATTTTCTTGCATCGCGAGAGTTTTATCAATGAAAAATAGAGATCAAAATGAAGTTTAATATGATTTTTTGTATACTGAGAGTGACTGTGTATCGTTATTATTTGGAATATAACATTATTTTTATAATTAATTTTCTACTTTCTTTTCAATTTAATTTGTTAATAATAGTTACTTTTTTATCCAAATTTAATAAATTTTCATAAAAAATTAAGCGAATTTTCGCCAAAATTTGTTTTAAATATGATAGATGATATTACAGAAGGATCGTTGAATTCCAATAATATGGTATGTTGTGATTACACACACACACACATATATATAGTATTTTTTTTTATTAATAATTAATTAATTAATATTTTTTTATAGGTTGTCGCACAAGTATCGCTTACTCAAAAACCAAAGATTCCTGTTTCATCATCACAAGCATCTCAATTTAAAAGTTCATTTCCTTCTCCATCGCCACAGTCTCGTGATAGTCCTGGTTCAACAACTCCTCTTCAAATCGAGAATCCTGTGCCATCAACTCCATCCAATAACAACGTCACTTCTGCCATCAATACTACGGAACAAGAATCCCCAAGTTTAATGACATCTCTGACAAGCATTCATGATGCTCTTCTTGTTGATCCATCATCAACTCTTCCACTTGACGATGCAATAATTCAAAGTATTAATGCAACGTCTACAGATGAAAGAGTTAAAAGGTTTTACCCTAATATAATTTTGGTTGGTGGTAGTAGTCTTATTCCGGGCTTAAGCAAAATGTTGGAAGAAAGGTAGTTAATTATCTAAGCATTTGAAGTTTTTTTGTTAACTTTATAATTTATTATTAATTAAAATCCATCTTTCTTTTCGTTTATTGACTTTTTAAAGATTAAGAGCTCGAAATATACAAAACTCTGATAAATTTACAATACTTGCATCACCAAGGGAATTAGATCCAAGATTGTTAGCATGGAAAGGTGGATTTGTTTTGAGTAAATTAGATATCATAAATGAATTTTGGATTGGATCTAAAGAATGGGCAGAATTGGGTGTCAGATCACTTAGAGCAAAGGCATTTTTTATCATGTAAATCCCCTGTTTTTATAACTAATTTATTTTACTATTATTATTAAACAATAATAAATTTGTCTAAAAAATTGGATTATATAAAATTTATTATATTTAAGTATAAATTTGAATTTTCTTATAATGGTAGCAAAAATAAATAAATAAATTTATATTAAATCTTGTATTCGTTTTGTAAAGTTTCAATTTCATGATTTACTTTTAAATTATCAATAATATTTTGTAATATTTCACCACTATCTAATAAACTTTCTAAATCATAAATCGTTAAATTGATACGATGATCGGTAATCCTATTCTATTTATTATATAATTTTTGTTTAGTTAAATTAAATAATTAATCAGTGTCATATATATAATATTTATTACCTGAGCAAAATTGTAAGTCCTTATTTTCTCTGATCTCTCTCCACTTCCGACCTTGATAAAGGAATTTTTTAATTTAATAAATAAAACCAAAAAAATTAGAAATTAACAATTGAATTTACTTGTGATTTTCTAGTTTCACTTCTTTCTTGTTGTAATTTCACACGTTCCATATCATAAACTTTTGCCCCCAAAATTCTCAATGCTTTTGCTTTATTCTATTAATTTATATTTTATATATTAATTAATTCTTACAATATAAATAATCATAATTACACAAATAGAATTTGATTTTTTTTTTTAAAAAAAAAGTACTTGTGGTTGTGAACGTTCATCTTGAATAGCCACAACTATTCCAGTTGGAATATGTTTAATTCTAACAGCACTAGATGTTGTATTCACATGTTGACCGCCTTTACCACTAGATCGATAACGTTGGATGATAAGATCCGATTCTTTTAATTTTGCATCAACTTCTGTTGATTCTGGTAATATAGCAACGGTGACAGTGCTTGTATGTATACGACCTGCTTTTTCAGTAATAGGGACACGTTGAACTCTATGTACTCCTGATTCATATTTTAAATCACCATAAACTCCAACGCCTAATATTGAAGCAGTTGCTTCCTAAACTTTACAATAAAACTTATATATAAACATTTTTATGTATATTGTATGTATTTATTGATCAGGTAATTGATTATATATATGTGATATATAATACCTTAATACCACCAATATCACTTTCTGATACGGACAATTTTTCGAATTTCCAATGTTTCAACAATGAAAATTTTTCATACATTTTAAAAATTTCACCTGCAAACAATTCAGCTTCATCGCCACCAGTTCCTACGTTGCAAACATTTTATTGTTGTTGTTATAATAATGATACGACATTATTGTTATCGATCTATTAAATGACTTTTAACAATATTTTAATTTCAAAAATTAATTTTACCTGCTCTAACTTCTAGCACTGCGTTTCCCTCGTCTGCTAAATCTTTTGGAATCAAAGCAGACACAACAAACCTTTCTAGATGTTTAATTTGTTTGATCGTGCTTTCATATTCTTCTTTTGCTAGCTTTTTTAATTCGCTATCAGCAGAATTGTCATTAAGCAAATTGTTAATTTCTAAAAGCTCCTGTATATGAATCAATATTAATATTGTGCAGTATATGAAAAGAGTTTATTAAAAACCATCAAACAAAACAAACAAACAAACAAACAATCAATCAATCAATCAATGAATCAATCAATCAATTAATTAACAATCAACAATCAATAAATATTGAATTATTTCTCTACACCTCGAGTTTTTTTAAATTCTTTATATGGATTAATGATATCTGCTAATTCTGATAATTCTTTGGAGATAGGAATAATATTTTCAGAAATTTGATTATTATTTGTCTACATACATACATAAATATAAGCATTTAGTAACCATTAATATCACAATTAATTAAATTGAAAATGATAATTAAATTACCAGGATTTCATATTCTTTTGATAATTTTTCATGTCGACTTATCAAATCTTCTAATTTTTCTTGTACTTTACTATTTAATTTTGAATCTTTGAATATCAAAGAATTTGATGAATTGACTAAATATAATAATTATTTTTAATAAAGATGATGATAAATATTTTAGATTAATGGATGCTTTGTTCAATAATGTAAATTTGCACATGCTAAAAAATTCATCAAACCCAATGAAACCGAAGATCTTGTTATTAGGAATGGTTTTAAAGAAAACAAATGAGTTGAATGATGAAAGAGATAATTATTTGATATTTTAAAAACATTTGGATTAATTATTGTTGAATTGGATAAATTCGATTTAAAGATGGTTTTGTATAATGAAAAATTTGACATGATAATTTGTGAAGATCTTGGAATTAATTTAGTGATAATCGTGTATATATAGTTATCCACAAAAAATATCCGCAAATTTTTATTATTATCATCATCAGTCATCCCATGGTTCATTAATTCTGATATCAATGATAATAATATTAATATATAGGTAATAATAAGAGAGCGTGAATAACAAAAAATTAATTTCTTTGTTTAAACAACATTAATAATATATGGGTAATAATGAGAGTATGAATAACAAAAAATAATTCTCGATTTCAGATATCAATGATAATAATATTTAATATATCGATAATAATAAGAGTACGAATAACAAAAAATTAATTCTCTTTTTTTAAGTATTAATGATGATAATATTAATAGGTATTAATAAAAAGGCATGAATAATGAAAATAAATTCTCTTTGCAGTGTTAACAGGGATTAGATTTGATGATTTCTTTTTTTGATTAATGAGCCCTTTCTTTAGCAGATATAAAGAAAATAACAAATAAAAACCTTAGAAATTTTTATAAATAGGTATGATCTTTGAACAGTAAAAGACTTTATTAATATAGTAACAATCTCATTTTGTAATTTCATTAATAATAATTATCAAATAAAATAAAATATCTCTTGTAATCTTATATATATTCTATATGCACTTTAACAAAGTTTGTCCTATATATTGTTATACTTGCTTATATTGCCTAATCATTGATAATTTGTATATATAGAAATTATTGGTACTGGTGAAAAGAAAATAAGTTATTCTATTGTAAAGTACTTATAAACAGCTTATAAAAATGATTTTTGCCTTTAATTACTTCCTCCTTCATAAAATTTCATACATGTCATATTTTCTGGAAGCTCTCGATATACCCTATCTTATCATACATGAATTTTTTTACTTGGAGAATGAAATTTGTTCAATAATTTAATTTGCAGATATTCTAAGGTTTTACGAAATTTGCGGATATAAATTGATGTAACAAATTTATATTTTTAAACAAGTTGCGAAACAATAACCCACCACCATCTTTATATTATTAATATATTAATATGAAAAATCCGTTAAATCCGTTAAAGCGAGATAAAATAATAATAATAAGGCCGTTCAAATTTAATTATTTGTTTAACATTCCCTCCCCCCAGATTTTCAAAATTTCAAGAATAAACAAACAATTATAAAGCACGTGATTTAACCGTGTAACCAAGTATTTACCATAAAGCACGTGAATTTTCGTATAACAAACCATTTTTGGAAAAATAATTTTCTCTGCCTCTTAATTTTAAAAAAAAGATGTTAAACAAATAATTAAATTTGAACGGCCTATTATAGAAAAATTTGGTTTTGAACCGAAACTCACCGTGTACTAAAATAGTAATGATGATCTCAGAGACGGTTTTTGCTGGAAAAGGTCCTATATACATTATATTCAAAGTTTAGGGTAGTCCCAAATACCGGTCTTTTGTGATTGGATAAATAGTATTTTGATGTGAACTACGTAACTTTTTGGTCAATTTCGGGTTCAACACATCGATTAATTGCAAGTTTTTATGTGCAATTCTCGTCAATTAATCTATTTTACGAATTATCCTGCCTACTTCTTCTTTCTTTTACCTAAAAAGCTTCGGCAAATATATGAGCACACTTAATGGCACGAATTTAATAAATAAAATATGAATGGGAAAAAATAAATAAATGATTCAAGATTTCCTTATTAAGAAAGATCCGCTGCTCCCGATATTTTTGTCTGAAAGTTTACATAAATAAAGTTTACATACATAATTAGGATTCAAATTACAAATCCGTAAATATAAAGGCGACCACGAACAATAAATAATAATTATGATGTATAAATAAATCCAATTGATTGATAACTATAACCTAATTAAAAAAAAAGTCCCAAAATTTTTTCTTTTTTTAAAACCTGTTCCTTATTTTTAAAAAAAAAATGTCTTTGCTAACACCGCTATTAAAATCAGAAAATATTAATAATGATGAAGGTGATGGTGGGATTAACACCAAACCAGATAATAATTTGGAAATCAAACACTTATCAAAATATTTTATATTGATAGCCATTTCATGTTTTATTTTATTCGAAATAATATTTTCAAATACATTATTGAATTCATATGACAAATTATTGCCAATATCACCCAATGAAACCATAATCACACACAAAAATGACTCTGTTATTGATATTATCGATAATAATAATAATAGCCATAATAATGATAATGATAATAATAATAACAATAATGATAATAATAATAATGATGATGATGATAACAATGGAACAGATTATCTTGACAACTTAAGCAAGGACGAAGGTGAGAAATATATGACATTTATGCCCCATAATGGATTTCATAATCAAGTAAGAGGATTAGAAAATGCTATAGTTGTGGCTTGGTCCCTTAATAGAACATTAATCCTACCACCTGCTCTACTTGGAATTAGATTTCCGTACAATGACATAAAACGCATGGCAAAAAGTCTAAAGGCTGAACCTGTTGATTCAATTTGTGGAAATATAAAGGTGAAGGCTAAAAAACAAAAATGCCAAACGTTCCATAGTTCATACACACTTTATCCATTTGACCAAATATTCGACTTTACATTTATCAGACAACACGTAAAAGTCATCAATATACCAAATTACAATGATGAAACAATTTTTGAAATGTTAAATATCACTGAGCCAAGAAAAGAAGCATATTTCTCAATTACCAGTAAACAAAATAATGTATTATATGACACTGAAACAA